AAATAAAAATGAACACATCACTCAAACGTAGGTTAATGAGTCTCGGGGCACATGACTGCAGCGCGCCCTCTGAGAGAATTACACACATTTATGTGACAGTGACGACTCAAACCTGCACTCTGTGCTGTCAGGATGACAGCGGTGACCGTATGACATCATTTATAAATATCTCAGTTATTATTCATGCTCAAAGGTTAGCAACAAAGAACTGAGCCTGATCTAATGTGTTCATTTCTAGGATAAACAGTGTTTGACAGGCGTGGCTGGTTGGGACCAGAGCTGTGGGTAACTGTTGTGCTGCATTCATGGTGAATGCCAGTCAGGCTTTTAGGAGGAGAAATGTCTGCAGCAGCATCGTGTTCAGGGGTCGTCTCAGTGTTGCCTCTATGGCGCACGGATTTAATGTCATTAACACCAAAGCAGTTGAAACTTAACCTCTGAACACTGTGCCAGACGTTTATCTGACTGACACACATCCATCTGCATATATAGATGTTTATATATGAGAGACACAGGGCTCTGCTTTTTCCTTTAACTTGTCACGTTGTGTACTTACCAACTAAATGCCACGTCTTCCTCTTGCCGTAGTTTCTACAGCCGGGGTTTCGGTCCGACTCGTAGCCAATAAGAGGCGTACAGATGCCATCGGCTACCTGCCCGACCAGCAAAAGCACACCTGCACCAAAGGAGACATTCACAGTTCTGTGACCTACGGCAACAATCACTGAGGACACACAACAACAACAACAACAATAACAGCCGGCACCACCACGAAGAACACCACGCTCCTCACCAAAAAACTAAAAGACTCATCACAACAAAAAAAGGACGACGAGCAGAAAAGAACAAAACAAAAAAACAGAGGCGTGGTGACGTCAGAGTGTGAACGTCATCCAGTGATGGCGTCACGAAGACTTCAGAACTGAAACTTTAAAGATGTTAAGCAGCACATGTTACTGGGTGACACAATGACTCCAGAGAAAGAGAAAGCCTGGCGATGGTCACCACACCTACAGAAGGGTCACCCACACAAACACGACCCGCGACCTGTGGCGCGGCCAGTATCGGCCGCGCTGAGGACCACACACGGACACGGACTGACCTGCACTCGTGTTTTGGAATCCCAGCACCGAATGGTAGAAAACCAGCAGATATGTGAACCACATGGAGGCACACAGGTCATTGAGAAAGTGCCCGACCGCGTAGCTGAGCCTCTTCAGCAGAGGAAGAGAACCGTCCGTGTCCGACATCCCGGTGGAGGAGGACCACAGCCCAGTTTACACGAAAGGAGCTCGGCTAGCTTTTTCCACGTCCGGGGGAAGGAGGCTGAATGTCGACAGCCCCGTTTCGGTTCCCTTTTTACGACTGATCTCCTCTATACGGTTTCACCATCCGGTTTAGAAAGAGCATTTGTCGCAACTCAACCAGCTGGTTAGTCCCTTTAATTCAGGTGCCAGTTTCCTCTTGACATCAGGTGACATGCAGCGATGTGGCCAAGCCGGGAGGAGCGTCTGAGAGGAAGGAAAACCGAAACAGAACCGCATCAGTGGGCGAAGGGGATTTTCACCGCACAGCTCCACTTACATCACAACATCACACTACAACAGGCAGCGAATGAAAAGTCCTCCCGGGACACGTTACGGTACAAAGATGAAGAAAAGACCGGAAATGTAACGAGACTCACAGCTCCAACACGTAACCGGTGAATACAGAAGCGCAGCTCCTCCGCTCACCTTCAGCTAACCGGCTACAAACCTGCACAAAACACAACCAGATGTAAACAAGAACGCAGACCGGCGAAGATGACGTAGTAGAAACTGTCCAATGGGGAAGCCGCCTCGCTCCTTTCAGCCAATAGCCGGAGCCCGCAGAGTTACCTTGTTCACGTGACAGCACACTTCAGACCTCGTGATGTTAGCGTTTGATTCAAAGAGCAGAGAGACAGCACCACGATGTTTAACAGCTCGGCGAACAACACGAGTGATTATTTTAAACACACACAGAAGTAAAACTCGTCTAACGAGGGACGAGGCTTCCAGGAAACTCACACATGGTTGAAACAACCTGCGCATCCAGCAAGTGTGAGCAGTTTCTCCATGAATGCGACGCGGACAAAGTCGAGCTGTATAACAACACTACTTTTATCCGTCCAAGCCCAAACCCGGACATTTATCTGCGGTTACTTTGAGCAGCTGCAAAAATAACTTCTTATTTTATCAAACTAAGTCCTGGAAATGTTACCTCCTGTCGCAGAAACCCCTGCAGACTGCAACTAAGGATTTCTGAGGGCCCGGTGTCCTGGTGCAAAGACACATTCATTAGAGAAGTTACTGACGTACTAAAGTTCATCTGTCAGAGCTGCAGGGATACATCAGCTGTTAGTATCAATGTCAAACACTTCCTCTTCCCTCTGAGCCTCACATTAACTGCCCTGCTGAAGCCACCAGAAATCCCAGAAGTGTAAATTCAACAACAATGACCTGCTGAGTGGCCCACAGCTGTGCCCACTCACCTGGGCTGTAACATTTGCATATGTTAATATGAGCTTAAATTAGAGTTTCCATTAGGCATTAATGGAGGACTCCAGGGAACCAGTTCACCTCAGGATGAATTACTGTAAGCTGCTACTTTACTCGCACCATCTTCAGGTGCTTGTTAAATACGGTGGTTTATTACTAGAAACAGCTTAACTTGAACGTTTTGCTTTGTCAGGAAATGTAAGTACGGTAACAGGTAACCAGGACGGACTTTGCACACATCAGCCCACTGGACCCTGTTCACGGTCACAGCTTCCTGCCTCAGTTCAGTCATTCTCATGTCAGGATTGTCGAAGCGCAGCAGCTTGTACTGCATTTGTGTTTATGAATACAAAGAAATCTATTGTGCTGTTACCGTAGTGACTGCACTTTTTTTTTTACTTCCTTATTAAAACTGTTTTGACTTCTCCTTGTGTACATGCAGCTGATGAACCTGAGGGAAGAGCTGATGAACACCGTCATGTTTGTCTTAAACGCTGCAATGATGCCAACATGTAGCGGCCCCCAGCAGAGTCTGGAGAACAGACCAGAACA